TGCTCCTAGTTCTGGGCCTGGGGTCACTTAACCAGAGGTATGGGGCTTGTTGAGGCCAGATGCTGCTTGTTTGAGAGACTTTAGGAAAATGTGTGAGAGACTTTAGGGAAATCTGAAGCATGAGCCAAGACAGGCCATTTCTATGGTAAATCCAATGAAAACAGCTTGGGTGGGCTGAAAGTTGGGTGAGGCAGGGCCTCGGGGAATCACCAGGGCGGAGCAAACAGTGTGAACCAGGTACTGGAGTCCCAGTATGGAGTCCCACTGCTGGCCCTGTAGGGGAAGGGCTCAGGAGAGGAACAGTGGCATCCACCAGAAGTCTGTCCAAGAGAAACCTGCCTCTCTAGCTCTCACTCTGATGCCAAACAACTCAGTTCTTCCTGGTATGTCTCTGGTGCTTTTCAAGCTGCCTCCCCTGCCCTGGAGCCCAGAAGCACCAAGTACTAGTAAGTCTGTGCGCCGGACCTTTAAGAGGAGCTGCCTGGGACTCTGGCAGCCTTAGCTCCCCTCAGCCTCAATTCCCGCCTTTTTTTCAGTTAGAAGTTATGCGCACTTCTCTTCCTGGCACTGGAACCCTGAGCTGGGGGACCTGATGTGGGATAGGGACGGACCTCTTGCTTCTCAGGGAGGACCTTCACAGCCAAGTTTTCCTTCCTGAATTTTATCTGCCACATGTGGGTGTGAGTGTAAGACTGCCCCTCCTACCAGTCTTGATGTGACTTCTTCAATTTTGTAGTTGTAGGACTTCCATTCAGCTCAGTTTTAGGCAGTTCTGAAGGATGGTTGTTCTGTAGTTCGTTGTAATTTTGATGTGGTTGTAGGAGGAGGCAAGTACCATGTTTACCTACACTGCCATCTTGACTGGAAGTTGGAGGGATGTTGTTTTTCCTTAGTCATTAATAAGTTGTTTATTTTAATGGCTACATGGTACTCTCTCCTATGGTATGAATATGTAATTTATTTAACTGGTTGCCAATTGATATTTAGGTTGTTTCTGTAGTTTTCTTTTTTACTGTTATAAAAACAGTAATTTTAATTCTTTTCAAGAATTTCAAATATTTAATGAATTTTGATTATGTAAAACAAGTATATAAGCATATAAATTATTAAAATTACCAGCATGTTTTTGTAGAGCGTCTCACAATTCTCTCTCAGTGATTCTCTGTAATTATCTGGAGAGAATCACTGTTCCTTAAAATGTTTACAGTCATTAATCTTTCTATGTAAAGTTAATTTGTTTCTAAAATGTGTTTTATTTCTGTAGAAATTTTAAATTTTCTTTGCAACTTTGAATTAATGGTAATTTAGAATAAATAACCTACACTATACTGTTTTTTGTTTTTTGTTTCCTAGCAGTAAACTGTTGATAGAGATAAGCAGTTAGTGCTTTATCATGCATAAAATCAGCACTCAGATATTGGACTTTTGTTACTGCCTCTTAATTTACTTGTCTTGATGCTGTAGTTCTGTGCATGGCAAAGAGTCTTTTGGGTATTGAAGAGAGGTAATAACTATACAGAATATGTGGTAATGATGTCTTTGAGGGCTCCTTCTATAACAAGGACTTTGAATCAGAAAAATATCCTGTGCAATGTATTGTTAAAGCTTTTCTGTTAACATCTCATTTTTTATATTCTGGGTGACAACTAATGACTTTATTTATGGTGTACAACTTCCCTATTTTTTTTTTTTTTAATCCTCACCTGAGCATATTTTTTTCCCTTTGTCTTCAGATAGAGTGGAAGGGAGGGAGGGGAAGAGAGAGAGAGAAACATTGACATGACAGAGACACGTTAACTAGTTGCCTCCCACACGACCCTGACCAGGGCAAGGGACCAAACTGCAGCTGAGGTACGTGCCCTTGATCGGAATTAAACCCACAACTCTTTGGTCTGCAGGCTAATGCTGTAACCGCTGAGCCACACCAGCCAGAGCTCCTTCTCTATTTAAAATAAAAGGGCTCACCCTGGCCGGTGTGGCTCAGCTGGTTGGGTATCTTCCAGTGCACCAAAAGGTTACTGATGGATTCCCTGTTAGGGCACATGCCTTGGTTTCAGTATTGATTCTCGATAGGGGGTATGCAGGAGGCAGTCCATCCATGTTTCTCTCTCTCTCCCTCTCTCTTACAATTCTGTCTCTCAGAATCAATTTAAAAATCCTGAAAATACAATAAAAGGGTTCCTTTAGTAAACTGTAGGTTATAAAATATATGAAATGATACGATTTTTTTTTTTTTTTAATCCTCACCCGAGGACATTTTTTTCATTTTTTATTCAGATAGAGCAGGAGGGAGAGAGAAAAAGAGAGAGAGAGCAACATCGATGTGAAAGGGAGACATCAACTGGCTGCCACCTGCACGACCCAACCAGGGCCAGGGACAAACTGCAACCAAGGTACATGCCCTTAGTGGGAACTGAACCCAGGTCTCTCTGGACCACAGGCCAATGCTCTAACTGCTGAGCCAAACCAGCCAGGGCCGAAATGGTACAATTTAAATAAACAAAGAAGTTGAAGGAAAAACTACATGTATCGGGCCAAGGGAATGAGCTTAGTCACTATAGTAAGGCCACAACTTGAGCTTCCAGTGTTTTCATATGTAAGTCAAGGAATAAAACATTGTATTTTATAGAGTTTATCTCAGTAGAAATTATTGTTCCATTTCATTTTGGTAGATTTGAGAAGACAGAATTGTTTTGTATTTAAATTTTTTAATGGAAGTGTAATTTTGTATAAAAGCTCAAGGCAGTGTTTACAGTTTAAAGATATTTTGTTTGCCTTTTTATATTTGTATACTTCTTTCATAGTACCTGACAAATAAGTGCTAAGTAAATTTTGTTTTACTTTAATCTTTACCTTGGCCTACTGAAAATATTTCTGATATTTTTACCCAGTACCCAAAAGCCTGAGAACAAATTTTTATTTTAAAATCTTTTTTTGTTGTTGTTAATCCTTCCTCACCTCAGGTTATTTTTCTGTTGATTTTTTTTTTTTTTTTTAGATAGAAAGGGAGGGAGGGAGAGAGAGAAACATGGATGTGAGACAGATTTATTAGTTGCCTCCCACGTGACCCCAACGGGGCCAGGGATAGAACCTGCAACCCAGGTATGTTCCCTTGACTGGGAATTGCACCTGAGACCCTTCGGTGTGTAGGCTGACACACTAACCACTGAGCCAAACCTGCCAGGGCAAAATCATAATCAGTTTAATTCAAACACTATTAATGATAAATAAGAAACATTTATAGAGGCCCCCCCCCCCAATACATAATCATTTAATCTTTACAAAACCTACATGAGGTAGAGGTATTATTCCTGTTTTTCCGACAGGAAACTGGGACCTAGAGAGGTTATATAACTCAAATAGTACCATGTAGTTAGTGCTGAGCTAGGAATCAAGCCCAAGATTCCTATTCTTATAACCATGAACCATGCTGTTGTTTTGTTTTTGTTTTTAAATCCTCACCTGAGGATATTTTCCCATTTATCTTCAGATGGGGGAGGGGGGAGAAACATTGATGTAAGAAAAACATGTCAATTAGTTGCCTCCCACACAACCGAGGTATGTGCCCTTGACCAAAATCAAACCCCGACTCTGGTCCATGGGCCAACGCTCTAACTGCTGAGTCAAACCAGCCATGGCTGAATCATGTTGTTTTTACATGGAGATGAACTTTTCCCTGTTTAGTGACTGTAGAAGATATGTTACAGTTTTTCATTTAGTATAATTCAGTAACTATTTCTTTGTTCATTTAATTGAACAGGTAAATTTAAGTATTTGCTATGTGTCAGGCACTGTTTTGGGCTTCTGGGTTTCATCAGTGAACAACACAAAATCCTTGCTCACATGGAGTTTATAATTTAGCCTAGAGGCTCAAAATCCATAAACTACCAAGTGAATTGTTTAGTATGTCAGAAGGTGATATATTGTATAAAAGAAGAAAATGACAAGGATAAGTGGAACAAACTGTAAAATTACCAAGAGATCAAATAGAATAAAAGTCCCTAGGGCTAGAGCATACTAGAATAACAAGGAAGTAGATGCCTAAATAGGGGAGAATAGAACTAAATAAGATCAGAAAGTTGGGAAGCACACATCACATTAGGTCTTTTAGGTCATTGTATAGAATTAGGGTTTTACTGTCAGTAAAAAGGAAAGCCTTTTTTGGGTTTTCATTATTTTAAAAGAGTCATCCTGATTGTGATGGGAGTAGGTACTGAGGCTATACAAGGGTAGAAGCAGGGAGACCTGTTAGGTTATTATAGTAATCTAGTAGAGAGGTATAATCTAGGGAAAAGATGGCTGTCAGAGCCGGCTCTGAACAGATTGGTGGTAGAGGTAATGGGAAATGGTTGCATTCAGGATATATTTTGCAAATAGAGACAACAGAATTTGCTTGTAGGTTGGAAGGGAAATATTAAAGGAGTCAAGGATGATTCCAAGGTTTTTAGCCTGAGCATCTGAAAGGATGGAATTCCCATCAACTGAGATAATTTATAGGGAAAATGAGGAGTTCATTTTGGGAGGGGTTAAAGTTTGGGATGTCTTTAAATACTCAAGTGTTGTTTAGAGTTGAGGAGTGAAGTCTGGAATAGAAATATAAAGTTGGGACTCTTTGGTATGGGTGATATATAAAGCCATACCACTGGATGATATTTTTGAGGAAATGAGTATTGAGAGTTAAGAGTTAAGTGAGCCCTAGGTCATTCCAACATTAAGAGAGTGGAGAGAAGAAAAGGAATTGTCAGAGGAGACTAAGAAGGAACAGTCAGTGAGATAGGACATAAACCTAGAGAATGTATCTTGGAAACTCAAGGGAAGAAGGTAAACCTTGGAAGGAGGAATGATCAGCCATGTCAGGATGAAGACTAGAACTGAAAATTATATTTAGCAATGTGAAGGCCACTGGTAATGGGATATAGAAATAGCCTGATTAACTCTATTTACATATTGTTTAAATGCAAATTTTTGATGTTTACAAGTGTTTCCTCTGCCATGTTCAGGTTTGCTATCCTATTGGTGGTATGTCTGACAGCGGATCACAGCTTGGTTCAATGGGTAGCCTGACCATGAAATCACAACTTCAGATCACTGGTAAGTCTTTAGAAGACCCACTACTACTTTACTCCCTGCCCCCCAACATAAAAAATAATCTTAAGAGAATAAATCTTTCTGTAAATAGTAGCTGTTACATGTGAGGTGCTGAATTAATACTTGCTTAATGAATGAACAAATGAACAAAATGTAGATATGTAAAAAGTTACATTTTCATTTCAGGATATTCTTGGGTAATATATATTAGTATTTCATTTCTTTTTTCCCCATTTATCTTCAGATAGAGTGTTTTTGGGGAGAGAGAGAGAAGGAAAGAGGAAGGGAGGGAGGGAGGGAGGGAGGGAAACATTGATGTGAGAGAGACGCATCAATTGGTTGCCTCCTGCATGACCCTGACCAGGGTTGGCGACTGAGTTGCAACTGAGGTATGTGCCCTTGACCGAAATCAAACCTGCAGCTCTTTGGTCCTCAGGCCAGTGCTATAACTGCTGAGCCAAACTGGACAGGGCTTAACCCCTACTTTTGTCTCCCTTTCAACTTATTTTTCCCACAGCAGTAGAGTGATGTTTGAGTGTTAATCTGATCATTTGTTTCTTCAGTACCCCCATACCAATACTTGATATGTTGTGGACACCCAGTACGTTTGTTGAATAGTACCCTTTTACTTAAATATCCTCAGTAGCTCCTTATTGCCTACTTTTCTAGCATTATCTCTTGCAGATTTTCTTTTTTCTTTTGACAGATTTTCTTTTTGGGGGGGGTAATGCATAATGATTTCAGATTAGATTGAACTTTATTATAACAAGCATTTCAAAATAATGATGAAGTTCTAATTTATGGAATGTATATGCATTGTTAGAATAGTAAGTCTATAGCTGGCTTAAATGCTACCAAAAAGGCACAGAAGCAAAAAAGGACAGAAATATTTGATCTATATGAAGTTAAGAGATTCAGGGCTGCCACCTGAAACTGTGCCTGCTAGACTGTCCAGTCTGTCTGTGATTTGGACTGTATATTGTACTTCTTGGGTAGCTGCTATAAAAATTCCTCTAGCAACTCCAAGGGTCCCTTCACCTTGATGGGCAGTGGCATTCTCTGAAGTTCTCTGCTGGAGTTTAGCTGCTATAAAAATTCCTCTAGCAACTCCAAGGGTCCCTTCACCTTGATGGGCAGTGGCATTCTCTGAAGTTCTCTGCTGGAGTATATCCAAGGGGTAGAGTATTTCCTTGGCTTTGATCACCTAATTTCTAGGAAGCAATGAGTTGTCACATGTGGAAACCATGGGTTGGTATGCTAGACTGGAATATATTTGCTGCACCTTCCAAGGGGTTTGGACTATTTTATGGCAAACATGACTAACTCAAGGGTGAAGGCTAAGGAGGCAGTATCTCAAGATGCACAATGTAGGAAGCTCTTATTAAGATAATACGAGATATAGTAGATGCTAAAAGTAATCTTAATTTGTAACTCTCTCTCCAGTGACTTTCCGGCATAGAATAAAATCCAAATTCCTTATCTAGGCTTACCACAATAGTGTGATCTTATTTACCCTTTTTTCCTGTTACTGTACTTTCCCCCAGATATGCCAAGCTCTGTTTGTTCCCAACTCTAATCTTCACATGACTAGCTCCTTGTCATTTAGATGGTTGCTTAAGAATATTTCCTCAGAGGCCTTCCTTACTATCAAGTCATCCTTACTATCAAATCATTCTGCCACATTAGCCTGTTTTTCGTCACAAGGACTTTTCTCTAACTAGGATGTCATCTTCTTGAGAGCCAGAGCCTTTTCTGTATTGTAAACTGCTCTATCTACACTGTAGAGTAATATCTGATACATGGTAGGTATTTAAATATTTGTTGACTGAGTTTGTCAATGTACTTTTTAGTTGACCTCAGAGTTCTGGGACGATTGCTACTGATAGTGGGCTGTTATACTGATGATACTGATAGGAATTTGGGTGGATGTTGTGGGGAAGTCCTCTATTTACTAGGATGGGAGGAAATACAAAGGTCATAAATGAATAAAATTAGGAAATATTTTAGAGTAAACCTGCTTCTCTGAGTAAAAGTAATAATGTTTTATATAACCTTTATGAAATTAAAGTGATTTGAAGGTGAACTAACATCTCAAATATTGAAATATTTTTCCTTTTCTTTTAGTCATTTCAGCAAAACTTAAAGAAAATAAAAAGAATTGGTTTGGACCAAGTCCTTATGTGGAAGTCACAGTAGATGGACAGTCAAAGAAGACAGAAAAATGTAACAATACGAACAGTCCCAAATGGAAGCAACCCCTTACAGTGTAAGTTTAAAAGTATTTTCTACAGTATATTTTGTTTAGTAGGTGAGTAGAAATGCAGCTTTAAAAAAGTTTCTCACTTATTTTCCTTGCTTCTTCCCTCTCTCTCATCTTTTTCTTTTTCCCCTGTCCTAGAACTCCTTCCTCTAGTCCCCCTTTGGTTTCTCTAGATATTTCTATTTTTCTTTACCTTCTCCAGTTTAGTTGATGATGCAGTCACTATTGCCCCTGAACAACAGCTAGGAGAGCCCCATGGTCATGGGCCATTCTTAGCAGATCTTTCTTTGACTTAGGGTTGAAATAGAGGGCCATGAGTAGCTCACTTTATTTTTTAATTCAATTAAAAATAATTGTGTTTTATTTGTTTGTTTTAATTACAATTCTCACATAGGACCCACACAAGGATTTTCTTCCTTAAAAAAAATTATACTGTATATTTTCTTCTACAACTTTGTTTTTATACCTAGCATACATAACATGGTTATTTTTCTCTTTTTTTTTAGTCCTCACCCGAGGACATTTTTGATATTTTGTTCAGATAGAGTGGGAGGGAGAAAGAGAGAAACATCGACGTGAAAGGGACACATTGAGTGGTTGCCACCCACACGACCCAACCAGGGCCGAGGATAAACTGCTTCCGAGGTACGCGCCCTTAGCGGGAACTGAACCCGGGTCTCTCCGGACTGCAGGCCGACGCTCTAACCACTGAGCTAAACTGGCCAGGGCAACATGGTTATTTTTCTAGCTGAGTACATACAGTCGAACTTCCCTTATATAGCTACATAATATTACTTAATATGGATGGATTATCACTTATTTTACTATTTCCCTATTGATCACTTGGTTTCTAATGTGCTATTAGACAGTTATAATATATATCCTTGTGGATATGTTTATATATTGGTGTTCTCTTCTAGTATGAATTCCTAGAAGTTGGATATAACTCAATTTCAGTACTTATTGACAAAGCCCCAAATGTTGGTATTGAACATTCATTGAAGGAAATTACAGGCTAATTTTTTTTATTTTTACTAAAATGAAAGAAACAGCATCATTTATCAACAAATGAATTTTAAAATAATAGAGTGTATTTGGTTTGGGAACCAAATGTATATAAAAATGTCATTTCAATGGAGCTAGTTGTCACATATCAAGTATACAGAAATTTTGTTCATTACTTAATATTTGAATTTCTTGTGATAGTTTCCCTTCAGAGAAGTAAACCAGTGACTTAAAAAATAGTTTTATTTCTGGATGGTCAGATGAGACATTTAAAACTATAAATTCTTTTATTCACATGATACATGCTTATGTGGACAGTGTTTATTCCTAATATATGACAAAACAAATTGAATATACTTAAATTATTATTTAACATGAATTTTTGAAGGTCTGAACATCTTAATGTACTTTATAATGATTTTGAGCAAATGAGTGAAATTCAAGAATTTACTGAAGGTTATCTTGAGGCCTGTTTGCAGAAGTATTCTAATGCTCCTCATCTATATTCATTTCAACATTAATGTTTCTTAGACTTTGTTTTTAATTAGTGGCTCATTAGCCATTGAATCTAAATTAAACAATATATGAATAAAAATTTCAGAAAACATAAATTGAAATAGAAAATGTTACAGCCTCTATAATGACTGGAGATATTCAGCAGATAATAGACTGAATGTTCATCAACTTTCTACCAACTGCTGTCTGTGTTCACTACATATACACTTTGAGACTCAAGCTGATAATGACATTAACTACTCAGTGGTTTAAAAAATTAAGAAAAAAGAAACTCTCCTTGTAGTCTCATATGTTAGTGTTGTTATTGAGCCCCGATATTTGGAGGAACATATAGCTCATGTTCTCTCCTGAAAAAAAAAAATTTTTTTTTAATCCTCGCCTGAGGATATTTTATCATTGATTTTTAGGTAAAGTAGAAAGGAGGGAGAAGCCGGGGGGAGGGGGGGCGGGAGAGAAAGAGAGAGAAACAGTGGTGTGGGAGAGACCCATCAACTGGTTGCCTCTTGCATGATCTTGCCTGAGGCCAGGGATCGAACCTGCAACCTAGGCATGTGCCCTTGGTCCACAGGCCGATGCTCTAACCGCTGAGTAAACCTGCCATGGCCTTCTCCTGAATTCTTAATTTGCAGCAGATTGGCTTGTGATTTTTAACACAGCTTCCATTGTTACATAGCAAAGTTTCCAAACTTTTCTTTAGAGTTTAATCAAAATAATTTAGATAAGACCGTCTTTGTTAGTATATTTTATTCTCTCTCAAATTAAAGTAAAATTAAAATTTTCTACTCTTTTATTCCATCTTCATTATGATTTCCTAGATGACTAATAGAGAAATGTTTTCTTACTATATACTGTATGTGCTCCTGAAACTAACATTTGAGAATTTTGAAGAGAATGAATGCATTGTACGTACCCCCACCACCAACATCAAAAAAAGAGAGGCAATATTAAGGTGAAAGTATTTTAGTTTGTTTAAAATACCTCTTACTATTAAAATGATGGTGGAAATATGATGATAGGGTTACAGGCATAGGTGGACTTCTAAGGAGGAGAGTGTTTGTCCCCCCAAATTTGATCACGACAGAATGAGGTGTAGAAAAATAAAAGATTTCAAGAATTTGATTTTATAGCATTGAACCATAGGACTATGGTAAATATATATAGTGTTCCTGTTTTTGTAATTGATGAGTCTAAAATAGTTTGAATATAATTTATTGCAAATACAAGTTTTCCAGAGTTTGCTTTGGAAATTACCATTACAGGTAGCATTCATTATTGGCATTTAGCATTGCATGAGTGAGCCTATATTTGACAGTTGTCCTGGACACTTTGCCTCTAGCAGTGTGAAACATGAGGTATCATAATCCTTAAATCATTATGTAGCTGATTGAGGAACTTTTTAATATAATATACATTTTAATGTTCAGGTTACTGTCTGACACTGGCTGTGTGATGTTGGGCAATTGGCTTAACCTGTCTGAATATCAGTTTCCATATCTGAAGATAAGGGTGCTAAATTCATCTTACAGGGTTGCTTGAATATTAACTGAAGTAATGTCAAGCTCAACATACCACCTGATATAAGGATTTAGTTTACAAAACACAAAAAATTTTTTTTAATGATTGATTTTAGAGAGAGGAAAGAAGAGGGAAAGAGAGATAGAAACATTGAAGAGCGACAACATCAATTGGCTGCCTCCTGGGTGACCCCCACTGGGGATTTGGCCCACAGCCTGGGCATGTACCCTGACTGGGAATTGAACCCATGACCTCTTGGTACATGGGTCCATGCCCAAGCACTGAGCCACACCAGCCGGACACGAATACACTTTTTTTTTTATCCTCACCCGGGGACATTTTTCCATTTTTTGTTCAGATAGAGTGGGAAGAAGAGAGAGAAACATCAACATGAAAGGGACACATTGAGCGGCTGCCTCTCGCAGGACCCAACCAGGGCCAGGGACAAACTGTAACTGAGGTACATGCCCTTAGCAGGAACTGAACCCAGATCTCTCTGGACCGCAGGCCGATGCTCTAACCGCTGAGCCAAACCGGCCAGGGCCAAATACACTTTTTTATACGGCTTAAATATAACTAGTTTTCCAACAGTTTGTAGCATGATAAGCAGTTTCACTTTTGTTGATGATGCATGGATGAAGTTGCCTCTGTAGTTTAACCACAAGGGAAAATAATCATGTAATCATGTAGCATCCAAATGTTTTTCATAAGATTATATAATATAGGCAATATTAGTTGTACAGTAAACTATGAGGGGTGCAGTAAGATGTTAGACATTAAAACTTTATTGTAATTTATGTAGCATCCCATTGTCATATTTAATGAAAAAGTTTTTTTCACCTTTCTTCATTTTTAGTATCGTCACCCCTATGAGTAAATTACATTTTCGTGTGTGGAGTCACCAGACACTGAAATCTGATGTTTTGTTGGGAACTGCTGCATTAGATATCTATGAAACATTAAAGTCAAACAATATGAAACGTATGTATGTAAAAATAATAGAAATTGTGCTCAGTTTTTCTTTTCCTACAGGAAATTCATGTGCCAAACATGCAGAATGATTATGTTCACTCTTTATTTTTAATTTTCCTTGGTTATATATTAACAGGGAGAAGAATCTTGAATTATTTAAAGCATTCTGAGTAGCCTTGATTTGGCCATTCCTTTTCTATCCAATATTTTAAATAAATATTCACTTAGTAAGTAGATATTTATTAAAGTACTGCATACTTAATTATGGAAAACTATAAATATAGAGCAGAGATGAAGGAAAAAAAATCCCACTTCAAACAGATAAATATGGTTAATACTTTGACAGATTTTCTTTTCCAAGTGCTCATTTAAAAATTTTTCTCATATTAAGTGGTGGTTTTTATTTATACAGGATGGGGCAAAAGGTTTACAGTTATTTGTATGGAAACTAATAAATAATAATATAAGAATAAACTTTCACATGCAACTGTAAACCTACTTTGGTGTCCCACCTTGTATGTGTGTGTGTATATATATATAGATATATATATAAATAAAATACAGATGTATAAAACCTTGAAACATGCTCTTTTAAATTAATATATTATATTTTAAAACATAGATATTTTCCACCCCTTGACTAAAACATACTTCAAAGAATTTTATTTCTTATCTAGAACTTGTGAGATACAATCTATTCTTTTTTTTTTAAGCAACCACATATATATATATTTATATTTATTATTATTATTACTTTTAATTGATTTTAGAGGAAGGGGAGAAAGAGGGAGAAACATCCTTATGAGAGAGAAACATTGATAGGTTGCCTCCCGCACTTGCCCCAACTGGGTATGAACCAGCAACCTGGGATATATTTCCCTGACCAGGAAACAAACCTGCCACCTTTTGGTATACAGATGATGCTCCAGCCAACTGAGCCACACTGGCCAGGGTGTGATACAATCCATTCTTTTTTTTAAAAGATTTTTAATTACCCTGGCCAGTGTTGTTCAGTGGTTAGAGCGTCAGCTTGTACACCAAAAGGCTGCACGTTTGATTTCTGTCCAAGGGCACATACCTGGGTTGCAGGCTTGATCCCAGCCCAGTCAGGGGGTTTGCGGGAGACAACCAGTCAATGTGTCTTTCTCACATAGATGTGTGTGTGTGTGTCTCTCTCTCTCTCTCTCTTTTTTGCTCTCCTCCCTCCCTTTTCTCTTCTCCCCTCCCCCAATTCTCCTTCCCTTCCATTCTCCAAAAATCAATGGAAAAAATATCCTCAGGTGAGAATTAGCAACAAAAATTTTTAAACTGATTTTTAGAGAGAGAGGAAGGGAGAAGGAGAGAGAGAAACATTGATGTGAGAGTGGAACGTTGATTGGCTGCCTCCTGCATGCTCCCTACTGTGGACCGAGCCTACGGCCTGGGCCGGTGCCAACTGGGAATTGAACCAGCAAACAACCTTTCAATGCATGATGCCCAATCAACTGAGTCAAACCAGCCAGGGCAATCCATTCTTTTTTTTTAAATCCATACCCGAGGATAATTTTCCATTTATCATCAGATAGAGTTGGAGGAAGGGAGAGAGAGAAACATCGATGTGAGAGAGACACAACAATTAGTTGCCTCCAGTAGGACCCTGACCAGGGCCGGGGATAAACTGCAACTCAGGTTTGTGCCCTTGACCAGGATCAAACTTGAGACTCATTGGTCTGAGGGTGGATGCTCTAACCACTGAGCAAACCGACCAGGGTGAATCATTTTTAAGTGATATATTTTCAGTGAATATAATTCAGACATATGTTGCTGAGTAATCTTGGTTGTCCTGCTGGCTCACTTTATATAAGGATGGAATGTATATAATAAATGAGCTGATTGAGCTGAGTTCAGCATTTTATATGAATATTAAGCATTACAATTTTTCTATTTTTAAAATATTTGGTGTCATAAGACCTGAAACCTTGGTTGAAGAATATAAAACAATTTATATACACATAAATGTAATTTTTCTCACATTGTTTTTATCAATTAAGATGACTTAACGGGGAAAAAAAAGTGACCAGTATGAGACTTTTTTTTCTGACATTACGTTTTTAAGTTAAGGTGATTTAAAGAAAAATCAATGACCATTTGTTCTGTAATTTATTTTCTTCCAGTTGAGAAAGTAGTGGTGACTTTACAGCTTGTAGGTGACAAAGAGCCAACAGAAACAATAGGAGACTTGTCAGTTTGTCTTGACGGGCTGCAATTAGAATCTGAAATTGTTACCAATGGTGAAGCTACTTGTTCAGAAAGTAAGTAATCACTTTTTGTATAGGGTCTTTAATGATTTTCCTTACATTAGCCACTTTAGTATCGTGTATGTAATTTTTATTATTCTATTCACATTAAATAAATTATTTCTTTATTAAAAAATTTTATTTTCTCTATTAATTTTTAGAGAGAGAGAGGAAGGGAGAGGGAGAGAGAGAAACATTGATGAGAGTACATCGATTGGCTGCCTCCTGCTTGCTTCCCAACTGGGGACTGGGCCCACAACCTGGGCATGTGCCCTGACCAGGAATCGAACCAGCATCCTCTTGGTAAAGGGGTTAATCCTCAATCACTGAGTCACACCAGCTGGGCAATTATTTTCTTTTTAAGGAGATGGATAATTTACAACATTTTCCTTTTAGCACATTGTATTTATGAATAAAACATTTTTCTGTAAGTTGAAAGGCTAGCCAAATAAAAGTTGAACCATAGCTGACCCAGTGGGTAATGAATTCATTTAACAAATATTTATTCTCTAGGCCAAAGATATCAGTTAATGTGGCATATGGCAGACACACTTTATTACCTGTAGGCAGTGTGTGGTTGAGTTTAAATTTGACTAGAAATTCATAGCCAATACAAGCTGAAATTCATTTGCCCCTTCTCTTCTTTTTCTGTAGGTTAAATTTATAGAGATGACTTTATGTTATACTAATGACAAAACCCATTCATTATATGTATGCTGGTATATCTTACAATTATGATTTACTAGTGTTGGATAAAGGAAATAAACATGAACTGTAAATTGAAAGAAGTTTGATGGCACCCAAGTAGTGCCTGCAGAGCTAGCATGCTTAATAAAACGACTTCTCAGTGGATTCTCTTTAGATATTTCCATCACTTTTCATGTGCTAAGTGTATTTTCACTTGAAACAGATTTTTAGAGGCTGCAACACAAAGAACAGATTAATGGTTTCCTTGATTAGTCTGACAAAGATTTTTTTTTCTTTTTTTACTTAGAAACTGCATTATGAAACATTTTGTAGTTGTCAGGCACTATTCTGTTTCTACTTTGGAAGACTTCCTGGTTCCTCTTTAACTCATGACTTGTTTAATAGCAGATAGTCCTGGTGTATTTTCTGGATTGTTTCTTTGGGGTTAATGACAGTGAAGAGAAATTTCTGAAATGATCATACTGCTTCAGAATTGATATGTTCATTTTAATAGACAGCTATTCATGGGAGTTCTATAATAGTTAATTTTTCTATCAATTAGAGTTCTTTAACATAATGTACAGATTAAATTACATTGCTAAATTGCTCTAAACCTCAGTATTTATAGCTTTCTAAGTTTTTTTCCTACAAATTTGGAACTATTATAATGCAGAATATTTAATAATTAACAAAAGTAAAGCATGTCATTCTTTACATTTCAGAGTAGAATATAAACTGCTTATTTATATTTATGACTTTATTGTTTATTTTCTACAGAAGTGGACATTTCTATGTCATCAGTTTTCTGCTCAAGTAGGAAAATATTTGGCAGAATTTAACATGATTTCTTGAAATAAAGAGGTTTTAACTGGGAAGTCACAGTGGATTTTTTTTTTTTTTAATCCTCATTCGAGTACATTTTTGCATTTATCTTCAGATAGAGCAGGAAAGAGAGGGGGGGGGAGATAGAGAGAGAAACATTGATGTGAGAGAGACACATCGATTGGTTGCCACCCACACATCGATTGGTTGCCACCCACACGACCCCAACCGGGGCCAGGGACAAACTGCAACCGAGCTACGCGCCCTTATTGGGAACTGAACCTGGGACTCTCTGGTCCACAGGCCAACGCTGTAACCACTGAGCCAAACCGGCCAGGGCAGTCACAATGGATTTTAGGGTTGGAGTTGCCAGCTACAGTAGCTACTTTTTTTTAAAAATTCTTACTATATTCCAGTCACAATGTTGGTGTGTTTGCATATATACTCATTTAAACATCACAACGTTGTAAGGCATTGTGTTTCCTTTCCTTTCCAGTACATACTTAAAACCTAGCAACATTAAATTGTCATGAGTTAGTTGTGGGCAAAGAAAACCCAGTTCAGCCCACAAGCATGTGTGGTGGGAAATGCACTTGTATTTTGCTTTTATTTTATTTATTTTTTATCCTCACTCGAGGACATTTTTTTCATTTTTGTTCAGATAGAACAGGAGAGAGAGAGAAACATCGACGGAAAAGGGACACATCAAGTGGCTGCCACCCACATGACCAACCAAGGCCGGGGACAAACTGCAACCGAGGTACGTGCCCTTAGCGGGAACCGAACCCGGGTCTCTCTGGTCTGCGGGCCAACGCTCTAACCGCTGAGCAAAACCGGCCAGGGCACAATTTATCTATTTTTATATCAAAGGACATTTGGGTTATTTTCATTTTATTGCCATTATGAACATATGCTATATTGGACATTTTTGCATTTATATATTTATATGTCTCCTGATACACAGGTTGAAGGGTCTGTGTAGCATATATATTAGGGAGTGGAATTCTTGGGATATAATGGTATGTGAATTTTCAGCTTTATAGCATTTATTGTTTCTTCAGGTATCCTTTTTTGTTGTGATTCTTTTAATTAAGGTAACATGCAGTTAACCTTATAATGTGTACAGTTCAGTGGCATTTAGTATGTTAACAATGATGTGTATCCATCACCTCTCTCTAATTTCAAAACCTTTTCATCACCCCAGAAAATAAACAGCATTGCCCACTAAGTAGTTACTCCCCATTCCCTCTTGTCCCCATCCTCTGCTTCTTGTCTCTGGATTTGCGTATTCTGGATGTATCATAAGAAAGAAATCATATAATATCTGACCTTTTGTGTATGGATTATTTTATTTAGCATATTGTTTTTGAGCTTTATCCAAATCAAAACATTTTCTAGCTGAAGAATATTCCATTTTGTGTGTATGTGTGTATGTATATGCCACAATTTATCGATTCATACACTGATGGACATTTGTCTTATTTCCATTTTTTGACAAGTAATAACTTATAAATGATGCTGCTATAATCTTTTTTTTTTTTTAACTATTTTTTTGCATTTATCTTCTGATAGAGTGGGAGGGAGAGAGGGAGGAAGAGAGAGAGAGAAACATCGATGTGAGAGAGACACATCGACTGGCTGCCATCCACACAACCCCAACCAGGGCCAGGGACAAACTGCAACTGAGGCACACGCCCCCAGCAGAAATCGGACCCGGGACTCCCCAGTCCGCAAGTCGACGCTGGAACCAAGAACCGCTGAGCCAAACCAGCCAGAGCAATCATTTTAGAAACTGACCCTTTTTATTATTGACAGTATTACATATATTTCCCATTTTCTCCCTTTTTGCCCCTCTCTACCCAACCCCTGCCTCACCCCAGGCCTTCCTCATGCTGTTGTCTGTGTTCAAGGGTTATGCATATATGTTCTTTGGCTAATCTTTTCCTGTCCCCTCACCCCCAATCCTGTTTCCTCTGAGATCTGTCAGTCTGTTCCATGCATTCATACTTCTGGAGCTATTTTTTTCATCAGTTTATTTTGTTCTTTAGATTCCACTTATAAGTGAGATCATGTGATATCTGTCTTTCTCTAACTGGCGTATTTTGCTTAACATAATAGTCTCCAGGTCCATCCATGCTGTCTCAGTGGGTAAGAGATCCTTCTTTTTTATAGCTGCATAGTATTTCATTGTGTAAATATACCATCGCTTTTTTATTTACTCATCTACTGATGGGCATTTGGGTAGTTTCCAGATCTTGCTGCTATAATCACTTGTGTATAAATTTCTTTGTGCATGTTTTTGTTTATCTTGGGTACATACTTAGGAGGTGAATTGCTGATGCTTGCTTTTGACAATTACCAAAATTGCTTCATAATTTTTTTTTTAAATGTTTTAAATTTACCCTGGCCGGTTTGGCTCAGCGGTTAGAGCTTTGGCCTGCGTTCTGGAGAGACCCAGATTCGGTTCTCGCTAAGGGCATGTACCTCGGTTGCAGTTTGTTCCCGGCCCTGGTTGGGTGATGCGGGTGGCAGCCACTAGATGTGTCCCTTTCACGTCAATGCTTCTCTCTCTCTCTCTCCTTCTCTCTTCCTCCCACTCTATGTGAACAAAAAATGGAAAAATGTCCTTGAGTGAGGATTGATTGCCAGTTTGTATTTGATCTTAGTCTGTGGGAATCTTAGGGACCTAAATTGGGGATTTTTTGCTCCAGAGAAAATTTATTTTGCTTCTGCTGGTGCCAGGGTTTGGAATCTACCTAGGAAAATTTTGGCTCCTTTCTTTTTCTTAATGTCTCTGTCTCTGGTTCAGCCACTTTGCTGCTAACCCAAGCTCTTCTTGCTGATCTATTTCAGAGCTGATAATAATAGCCCTTAGGGTGACCCTTTCTTTCACATTTGCTTACTACACCCTGTTCCTGCTGTAGTATCAATTCACTTGTTTGTTTATCTTTTGAGATTGCTAGGCACCCAGGAAATAGGAACAGTGTGTTAAATTACTTCATCTAAGAGGTATTTTGCAGCAGAGGGACCCTTTTGAGTAGCTCAGTGAATGGAAGAAATCTTGATAGATCTTCCAAAATGTCCTGTGGATAAAATATGTGCATTTAGAAATCTGATCAGTTTTTCTTGAGGAAATTTTGATTGGGACTACTTTAAAGGCAATACATTGTAAAATGCCATTGTTCTCGTCTTGGATATTCCTTGTATAAATGTCAGATAATTTGTACATGTGTGTTTTTTAAACTGTTCTCTGGTTGAAAATATAGGACTAAATCTAAATAACTTATGCAATAAGTTTCATAGTGATGGCTTCACTCTATATTGAAGTGAAATAAAGCATTGAATATGAATAACCCTTGTTGAAACTGCTGATGAAATGTAAATTGTGAGAAATAATATAATATCTAATAATTATGGAGTGTTTATATGTGCTGGGTAGTGTTCTAAATGTTTATATGTTTAATTCTTACAACTGTTCTGTGTAGTAGGTATCATTATTGTTTCCATTTTGTACATGAGTTAAGAGGCATAGGAAAGGCAAGTGTACTTTTCTAAAGTCACATAGTATATGATGAAAATAGGAGACAGACCCAGGCAGTCTGGCCTCAGAGTCCATGTGATTAAATATTATGCTTTACTGTAGTAAATGAGAATGTTTATAGAAGTAGTAGTTACTGGTAGATTTAAATGAATTGTTCCAAATGGTTTTCTTAATTTTTGAGAAAAGTAGGATAGGGTGTTTTGTTTTTCTGATTTCATTTATGTTTTATTTATCAGCTATTTTAATTAAAAAAAAATTTTTTTTTTTTTTTTTTTTGCCCTGGCTGGTTTGGTTCAGTGGTTAGAATGTCAGCCCGCGGACCAGAGAGTCCCAGGTTCAGTTCCCACTAAGGGGCACGTAGCTAGCTGTGTTGCATGTTGTCCCCAGCCCTGGTTGGGGTCATGTGGGTGGCAACCAATTGTGTGTGTCTCTCACATCGATGTTTCTCTCTCTCTCTTCCTCCCTCTCTCCCTCCTGTTCTATAGAAAATTTTTAAAAAAGAAAAGAAAAAAATGTCCTGGGATGAGGATAAAAAATATGTGTGTGTGTGTGTGTATATCTATATCTATATCTATATCTATATCTATATTATATATATATCTATATATATATATTTGATTTTAGAGGGAGAGGAAGAGAGCTAGAAACATCAATGAGAGAGAACATCTATTGGCCTCCTCCTACATGCCCCCTTCTGGGGACCAGGTTCACAGCCTGGGCATGTGGACTGACTAGGAAACAAACCAGTGACCTCTTGGTGCGTGGGTGGACACTCAACTACTGAACTACACTAACCAGGCTGTTTATCGGCTATTTTAAGGGGATATATTCCATGTAAAAATGATTCTTTTTTTTGTTTTGTTTTGTTTTTGTTTTTTTTAATCCTCACCCGAGGACATTTTTCCATTTTTTGTTCAGATAGAGTGGGAGGGAGAGAGAGGAACAGAGAGAGAGAGAGAAACATCGATGTGAAAGGGACACATCGAGTGGCTGCCACCCGCACGACCGACCAGGGCCGGGGACAAACTGCAACCGAGGTACATGCCCTTAGCGGGAACCGAACCCGGGTCTCTCAGGACCGCAGGCCGACGCTCTAACCGCTGAGCCAAACCGGCCAGGGCATAAAAATGATTCTTATAAAATTGAATTGTACCCTTTTCTTCATTGGATCCTGTTTTTTAAACCATTTTAATAGCTTTATTGATATGTATTTTATATTTTAAAAAATTCACCCATTTCACATATACAGTTAAATGGGTTTTAGTAATTTATTTGCGTAATCCAGCCATTACTGTAAATCAGGTTTAGAACATTTCATCTTCTCAGTAAGATCCCTGTTGCCTATTTATATAAATCCTATTTTCACCTCCAACCTCAAGCAACCACTAATCTATTTTGTCTTTTCTAGACATGTCATGTAGATGAAATCATACAGTATATGGTCTTTTGTGTTAGGTTTGTTTCACTTAGCATAATGTTAAGTTCATCTGTGACAGCATGTTTCAGTAGTTTCTTTTTATTACTGAATAGTTTTTCATTGCGTAGATATACCACATTTTATCTATTCACCTCTACCATTTTAAAAAAAGTATTATTTGTAGACTAGATAAAATACTTGCCAACTTTGCCCTGGCTGGTTTGGCTCAGCAGTTGGAGCATTGGCCCAAGGATCAAAGAGTCTCAGGTTCGATTTACGGTCAAGGGCACATATCTGGGTTGCAGTTTTGATCCCCAGCTCTGGTTGGGGTCGTGTGGAAGATAACCAAACCACGTGTCTCTCTCATGTCAGTGTTTCTCTGTCTCTCTCTGTCTTTTGCTCTCTCTCCTTCCTTCCCTCCCTCCCTTCTACTCTATCTAAAAATCTATGGAAAAATATCCTTGGGTGAGGATAGAAAAAGCAAACAAACTTGCCAATGTTGCTGTATAGTATAGTGGTGACTCAACATCTCTTTAAGGAGTTAATCTATTAATTATGCTTTGGAGTGATACAGTGATGATTTCACTGTTTGAAGTTATGACCGTATTCATAATGGTCTATTATTCTTTAACTAAATGGACCTAGACTATTAAACTTGAGTTCTTGTTTCTGCATTGCATAGTTTTTCCTTCTTAATTTTTGTGGCAGTGTGCCTACCTCTAGCAGCCACCTTCTGATGTTTTATAGTATTCAGGTCCTTCCTGAATCCTAGGGACAGTTCCCAGCAATAAAATTTGAAGAAAGTGTGAACATTGTGGCATTCATTTTGGTCACTTTAAGACCTACCCATTTGTGCCTTTCCTATTCTTGAAGCTTTTTTCCAGGCTCCAGCATGAGAGATATGTTACTCTATTTTCAGAATCTGTTTTAATAATCATTCTGCTGGTGATCTGCACTTTTTTTTGTAAGGTATTTGGAATACAAAAGTGGCTATAGTAATTAGATTTGTATTAAAATTGGCAAACATATGTCAAGAAAGACAGAAGTTGCCCAGGAGTGATATACCTCAACTAGTTTATATTTCTTACACATAATCAGTATTTGCATTAAATTTTGGTAAAACTTTTCTTATTTCAATTATATAAACATTTATTGCATTTTCCTTTTAAATGTTATGTTAGAATTTAACTAAGTTCTAGTATGTTCTTTACTAGAAGGATTTAATAAAAGGCTTTGCTTACATAGCATGTTTAGGAAAAACATGAAAACTACTTTCGAAACTCATTTTCTGTCTAAATTTTATTGATGTTAAAGGTGCTTCACAGAGTGATGATGGCTCCAGACCCAAGGAGGAAACAAGGTAAGATTTTACTTACTGTTTATTGAGAATGCAGGAGGAGACAAGGGAAAACGAATAAATACTCATTTCAGTCAAAATGTCAAGTTCATATTGATATAAGAATAAATGATTGTCAAAAAATGCTTGCCCTGGCTGGTGTGGCGCGGTGGTTAGAGCATCAGCCTATACACCAGAGGGTTGCAGATTTGAATCCCAGTCAAGGACATGTACCTGGGTTGCAGGTTCAATCCCCAGCCCAAGTCAGGGTGTGCATGGGAGTCAACCAATCATCAATCATGTGACTCTCACATTGCTGTTTCTCTTTCCCCTTTCCCCCCCTCCCTTTCTCCCACTCTCTCTCAAAAAAGGTTAATCTCCTTCTGCCCTCGCTAGTTTGGCTCAGCCCATGGACCAGAGAGTCCTGGGTTCAGTTCCTGCTAAGAGCACATACCTCGGTTGCAGTTTGTCCACAGCCCCCATTGGTGTCATGTGGATTGTAACCACTCGATGTGTCTGTCACATTGATGTTTCTCTCTCTTCCTCACGCTCTATCTGAAGAAAAATGCAAAATTGTCCTCGGGTGAGGATAAAAAAAGAAAAAATCTCCTGTGAGGATTAACTAAAGAGAATAAAAAAAAGTTCAGGGCTCAAGGTAAGAAGGGAAATATTTATGAAACACCCAGGACTCTGCTTATCTGACTGCAGTTCTGTGGAGTAGGCCAGGGATACCCAAATTGCTAATACTTCCTTCAGCTTGTAGAAAGTGCATGTATTGGTATTTTTTTCAAAGGCAGGGAGTTCAGAATTTCAGGGCCATCACTAGGCTGTTAAATTTATTTTCTAGGAAAGCTAAAATATAAGAATTGGGTACATGTGACGGTCACCAGTAGCTGTAGTATCTTCTGGACCTTAATTAGAAGGGGCACTTTCAAGTGCCTGTGTGTGTCTTTAGTCTAACCCAACCAGGTTAGTGCCCTTGACCAGAATTGAACCTATGACTCTTTGGTCGGTGAGCAGATGCTCTAAGCACTGAGCCAAACTGGCCAGGGTTCTGTTTACTTTTTTTTTTTTTCAATCCTCACTCGAAGATATTTTTTTCCATTTATCTTCAGCTGGGGAGGGAGGGAAAGAGAGAGAGAGAAAAATACCAACGTGAGAGAGACACATTGACTAGTTGCCTCCTGCATGACCCCGACAAGGGCCGGAGACTAACCTCAACGAGGTACCTGACCTTGACCGGAATTGAACCCAGTCTCTTTGGTCCATGGGCTGATGCTGTAACTGCTGAGCCAAATTGGCCAGGGCTCTATTTACTTTTAAAAAAATTATTTTTATTTTTTATTTTTAGGGAGATAGATGGAGGGAGAAGGAGAGAGAGAGAAATAGCAATGTGAGAGAATGACATGGATCCGCTGCCTTCTGCATGTTCCCCCACCGGGGATCGAGCCCACAACCTGAGCATGTGCCCTGACCAAGAATCAAACCAGCAACCTTTTGGTGTATAGGCTGATGACCAGCCAACTGAACCACACTAGCCAGGGCTCTATTTACTTTTATGATGTATAAAAAATTCGTAATAAAATGTTTAAAACATACAACTCATTAAGATCTGGAAAATCAAAGTTTATAAAGCTATTGTGTTTTACCTGATGAAGATCTGCTTTCACAGAGCCATTCCTGTGACAAAGAATCATCTTCTAATCTCAAAAGAAGTATAGAATATTAAGGGGTTGTATCTTCTTGGCCAGAGAAAAATAACGATTTTAATTCTCACTGTGATTAAAACGTCATTGAAAAGGTTTTTAAAATTACATAAATGTCTCTAATGACTGGAAGACAACTTGTGCCTCTTTTTAGTTTTATGTTTAACAGAAGATTTCTTGAATTCCTGAAAATTTCCCCATACAAATGTTTTGATATTTCAGTTTGCTTTGGTTAAGTAACTTCTCTTTTGTATAATAAATCTATATTTTTGCATTAACAAATGAGAATGTGATATAATTTTACATACCCATTGAAAGGTTCTGTTATACCATTCTGTTATTTGCAAATCTCTTTTATACAATACTTTTATGACACTACTCTAAGAACTATACATTGGTATAGTCCCAGCCTCGTATCATTTATTTATCAGTGCTTTACATCTTGCCAAGTGAATCATTGTTATATGAAATCTGAAGAACAGTGTCTTCTTGATTTCTGAGACTGCCAGACTAGTCCTTAAGCATGTCTTTTTGTGTTAAGCATGAAATCCTTTGCATTAGCTTTTATTTCAGAGAACAGATCTCTGACATGGTTGGTTTGAAAAATATTTTTTAAACTGTCATATGCTGTTTAATGTTACCTCACAACAATCATGGCCATGACTGGCTTTTCCCCTTTGCTTTTATTTGCAGACTTCATAACTATACGACTAAAAAGCAGGGCACTATATATCCAGTGAACAATGGCTTCTGCTCCTCCCTGCCCCAGCTATCATTTAAGAAGTTTACTAAACAGCTTTAGGTTGTTTACCTTTTTTCCCTCATTCAAACACTGTGTATCATGAATGTAGTCTTGTTGATTTTCTTTCTCCTGTAGCATGTCTGGATGTTTTATATTTCTCATTGTTACCTTCTGTCATTTTTATGAAGTACCAAGATGATTGGTGCCTAGTGTTCAAGATTTTGTTGTTAGAAGTGCCTTCTTGAGTATACCTTTTTGATTTTTGTATTTATTAATTTTTAATTTTTTTATTATTATTGTATATTCCTCATCTGAGGATATTTTTCTACTTATTATTATTAGATAGAGTGGGAGGGAGGGAGATAGGGAAACATTGATGTGATAGAGCCACATCAACTGGTTGCCTCCTGCACAACCCGACCAGGGCTGGGGACAAACAGCAACTGAGGTATGTGCTCTTGACTTGAATCAAACCCGAGACTCTTTGGTCCATGGGCTGATGCTCCAACTGCTGAGCCAAACCCGCCAGGGCATATTATTTTAATTTTAAATATGGAAGAGAGGAAGGGAGGGAGAGAAAGAGCGATGTGAGAAACATTGATTGGTTGCCTTCCCTACATGCCCTGATCCTGCATCAGACCTGCAACCTTTTGGTGTATGCGATAACACTCCAGCCAGCTGAACCACCTGGCCATGGCAAAAGCTATTGCTTTTAACCATAATAGTGTGATTACTTCACACTGACAGTTCTGTGTAGTGTATTGGTGTTCCAGTTGATTTTCAAAATGCCATTTCAGGTTTTAGTTTCACACCCACTTATTAAAGGAACTAAAATACATTACCAGTGCTATTTTAGTACAGTCATGTTCCTCAATCTTCAGAGTACATTAGAATCATCTGGAGCACTGTTCAACCACAGATTACTAAGTCTTATCTTTAGTTTCTGATTCATTGCATCTAGGTGAAGCACAAAATTTGCTTTTCTTACAAGTTTCGTGGTGATGCTGATGCTGCTAGATCATGATAAAGATGTTTTTTAGAATACACTAAATTATTATGGGAAATCTATTCAGTTATATAATAAAGTGTATTTCTTGAAAATCTAAGCTTGCAGAATGTGCCAGAAATGTCATTCCATATTCATCTCTTATTCTTTTACTTCAGAGCCAGTTTGAATTAAAAAAAAATTTTTATACTTTATATTTTTATTATTAGAAAAACATGATTGTTTTTAAAAATGTAAATCATTGAATAAAATGTATAAAAGCTTCATGGAAGAAATAGCATTTGGCTTAAGATCATAGCATAGTTATAATTTGCATATGCATGTCTTTGGGGAATTGGAAAGAAGAAAGAGTTCTAGGTGAAAGGAAGAAAAACAATCATGGAGGTAGGGAAGAACACAGGGTGTTTTATTGGAAATCTTTAGTCAGTGTTTGACTGAAAGTAGACTAATTGAAAGTGGGAGATCTGGCTGGAGTGGCTTAGTTGGTTGGAGCATCCTCCTATACATCAAAAGTTCTTGGATCAGTCTCTGTCTCCGGCCAGGGCATGTGTTTCTTTCTCACATCATTAAGTCTCTCTCTCTCAGTGGTTGGAGCATCGGCCTGCGGACCAGAAAGTCCCTGGTTCAGTTCCCACTAAGGGCATGTACCTGGGTTGCAGTTTGTCCCCGGCCCTATATGGAGTCGTGGGGGGGGGCAACCACTCAATGTGTTTCTTTCACATTGATGTTTCGCTCTCTCTCTTCCTCCCTCTCCCCCTCCAGCTCCATCTTAAGATAAATGCAAAAAAAAAAAAAAAGGGTCTTCGGGTAAGGATAAAAAAAAATCAGATTACTAGTCCAGCTGGTGTGGCCCAGTGGTTGAGCATCGACCATGCACCAAGCGGTTGCTGGTTCGATTTCTGCTCAGGGCACATACCCAAGTTGTGGGCCAAATCCCCAGTGGGGGGCATGCATGAGGCGGCAAATCAATGTTCGCTCTCATCAATGTTTCTATCTTCCTCTCTTTCTAAAATCAATAATGAAAGAAATAAATTACTATAAATAATCTGAAGAACAGTGTTTTAGACATTTCTATGAGGTAGGTAGGTATCATATTTATAGGTGATGAGAAAACTGAGGCTCAGAAAGGAAAAGGACTTTGCTTGAATTTATAGTATAAGTGGCATAGTTGAATCTGGGACCATCTTCAGAGCCTGAGCTTATAGTTATCATGCTTTACTGCTGCCTAAAATGGGGTACTCCCCCCCCATGTAAGTAAGTGCTTAGCCCTCGATAAATATTAGATTGTTTTAGTACTACAGAGGTTGGGGCTAGATGATGATTTTGGTTTGCAAGTATAGGCTTATAGAATCTTTTATGGAGAAGAATGTCTCTAAAAATATTTTAGTAGGGCATTGGTACAATCAAAACTCCACAGAAAACATTTTTTGATCGTAATAATATAGTTTGGATATGTAGTGGTAAGTAACTGTGGGAAGACCGATGTGTGAAGCTGTTACTGTAATCTGCTGAGATACTGAGGGTTAGAACTGGAGTGATGGTGGTAGGAGAATAGAGAGAATGTGGAAGT